TGAGGGCAATGATTGTACAAATGAGCTTTACACAATTGATGTATGTATGGATTGTGATAAGAGTTGTATGAGCCCCTAATAAAATGATTAAAAATAAATAAATAAATAAAAAAGAATGAACAAAAAATTCCACCCATAAAACATGCTTAATTGTTAGGGATATACAATATTTATACTTTGAGATGTACAATTCTAATTCTATACTGATGATCTTGACATTTAAAAATTTAATTAATTGATTTGACTACATCAATACACATATATTACAAAATAGAAATGTGTATTAATTTGAATATTTTTCTTCCCTACTTACTGAATTTTCGAGCCCATAGGTAAGGGTAATAAAATACTCAATGATGCAAAAAAAGGGTTTTAAAAAGATTTTTAGCATTTCGGAGAAAAATGAAATAGATCAACGTCTTTTAAAAAGTGTCTGGAAAAAGCCTTCTTCTCTCCCCTCTCTCCATCAGTTCTCCTGCCTAGCCCTTGGGACCACCTGATTCCTGTCTTATGTATTTTCCAAACAATTTAAGTCTGATGCATACGCAATTGGAATGTATATCAGTTTTCTCTGACCTTTGTTGCACAAAAGTTAAGCAAGTTTCAGCATCTGCCTTTTTAAATTATTCGTCCATTTTGGAAACCATTCCATTCTTTAAACTTTTTCTTTTTAGCTGCCGATAGTACGGATGTCTCACTATTCATTTAGCCAGTCTCTCTTGACTGACAGCTGGACTATTTCCAATATTTTGCTGTTACAAATGATGGACGGGAATATTTCTGGCCACCCATCTATTTCACGTGGATGTATGCCCATCTGTCTGCAGGATAAATCCCCGGAAGTCAAACTGCTGGGCCAAAGGGGAAGTGAATTTGCAATACTCATAGTTCTCACACTTTCCTCCACAGCAGTCATAATGACTTAAACTCCCGCCCCTTCAGAGTGACGTTTCTCCACAGTTTTGCCAACAGGGTGCTGTTAAACTTTGGGGTTTGTGTTGTCCCAGTAGGAGGACATTAGTATCTCAAAGGGCTCTTGTGGTGCTATGGGCTAGGTGTTAGGCCACCCACCACAACATCAGTGATTCTTCTGCGCCTATAAAGAAACCTATGAGTTGGAATCAACTCAATGGCAGGAATTTTGTCTTTGTTTGATCCCTTTTTCTGGAAGAAGTGAAAACAGGTTTCTTCACTGGGGTTGTTTTTGTGGTTTAATTTTGCTTCTGGTGATTTTTGTCATGCTGAAAGCTCACTCTTTACACCCTCAGTCTTATACCCCCATGCCTGGTGCATGCTCCTCCTGGATCCTGCGTTTTCTTCCTGGGAACCTCCTTCCCCTCCTTTCTGGACAAGCTCATCTGGCCCCTCTTCACTCACCTGTCTGTCCCGGCAGGTCTCCTCGCTCCTCTCAGTGCTCTTTCATGCTCTCATAGCTTACTTCTATTTGACATGCGATGTTGTTTTGGTTTGTATCTAACTGGGAACTTATACCTCATACCTTAACTTTTCTTGTTTCTATACTCTCAGCCCCTAGCACAAAGCATCTGCTTAATCAATACTTGCTGCATAAATTGATTGAGAAATCATGAGCAGCAGTTATCAACCTTTACTCCCTAAAATACTCTGGCTGATCATTTAAGTCCTTCAGATGAAACTTATGTATGAAATGTCCTTTTGTTGAAAAACAGAAATGAAGGAGAGGAGTGGAGGCTTGTCTTTGATGGTCAAGGATGTTTCCAGATACTCGGTGGCATCCAGCTGTGAGCAGTGGACTTTGAGGCTCCAAGCAGAGCTCTCAAAATCCTATTTATGTTTAAAAAAAAATCATTTTATTGGGGGCTTATACAGCTTTTATTACAATCCATCCATCCATCCATCCATCCATCCATCCATCCATCCATCCATCCATCCATCCATCCATCTATCCATCCATCCATCCTGTCAAGCACATTTATACATAGCTATTAAAACATTTTCTTTCTACTTGAGTCCTTGGTATCAGCTTATTTCCCCCTTTCACTTACCCCCCTTCTTATTGAACACTTGCTAATTTATAAATGTTTTCCATATTTTACACTGACTGGTGTCTCCGTTCACCCACTTTTCTGTTGTCTGTCAGTCCTATTTATGATTATCCTTCCCAATCTCATCCCAGAAAAAGGAATTCTTAGGCACAGCAAAAATTTATTTTTAATGAAATTTATTTCAGAACCCATAAAGCAGTACAATTATATTTACATTTATAAATATTCCCATTTAAAAACCTAAGTTTATAATCTCAGCCTTGGTGAAAAAAAACTTTATATAAAGACAGTCCACCGGTTCAAATGAAATGGGTACCACAGCTGTTGAGCATGAGTGATTCAGAGACTTGCCCTACTTGAGTTAAATTAAGTAGATTAGCCTACCATTAAATAAATAAATAAGTAGTCCAGCAGTTGCTTACCAAAAGCTAGGTACAAAGGACAAATATGCAAGGACTTCTATTTAGCTGGCTTTGAGCAATGGGATGGGGTGTGTGTGTGTAAAGCCTGCTTAGCAAAGGGGATCTGGGATTGGTCCTGAAGGGAAGAGCTGCTTGTCATCACAGACTTGGGCCGTGGGCACTAGGACCGCTCAGACAGCTCCTAGAATCCCTAGAGGGTAGACCGGAGAGGCCCTTAGCACCGCTATTCAGAAGGCAAATGGCATCACTCTGGACTGCAGTGAAGTCCAGGCTCCAAATCCTTCCTACTCCCTTCGGCTACCCTGAGGGGTTACTAGCACATGTGGTCTTAGGGTGAGCTTTCCTCTATGGTGAAGTCTGTTATATCCTGGCCGCCTCTGGTATTTCCCAGGAAGACCGGCTGTTGGTCCATTTGGGAGGTGCTGATGTACCAGTTGGGGTGTGCGGCTGACTCAAATTCCAACTTGTCCTTGACCTGTAGCTTGTTGAAGACAAATCGCAATTCCATCCTCTTTCTGGGGTAAGATTTGGGGTCTACTGTCTGCAGCAAAGGAGAAAGAAGCACGTTTGTGAGGGGACAGAGATGCTGGGAAAGATGGTTTGGGGATCTGGATTGGCTAAAGAGGAACTCAGAGCAGTTGCAGGAATAGGAACTAGACCCCAGCGTTAATTCGGGACCCTGCCTTTCTGCCTGACTGTTGAGAAGTTCCTGGGTGGGGCGAACGGTTAAGTGCTCAACAAGTAGCCGCAGACTACTCAGAAGACAGGACTGGCGTTCTAGTTCTGAAAGGTCAGAAAAACTGTATGATTTGCTTAAAGACTCTATACAGGTCATTCTGGGTCAAATCAACACATGAATAAGGAAACCCTTACTCTTTTCTCGAGCCTAGTCCCCAGTGCTGGGGGGCATGATAGGGGTGAGAATTAAAAAAAAAATCAAAAGTAGATGAAAACTTTCAGGACCAACTAGTGTCCAAGGGCTTTGCTCATATTCTTTTTATACACTCGCTGGCATGAAATCCACTTGGAAACAAAGCTTTTGTTGGGAAAGTTGCCCGAAGAGAGTGCTTTGAGGGGTGGCGTGGAGAAGATGACCTTTGTCCTTTCTCTTTTTAACGGATTAATTTCCCAAAGTACCATCTGTCAAATGAGAGCAACCCCAACAATGTCTAAGCCACCAACCCTAACGTTGTATAGTACCTGTGTGGTACATTGGCAGGACATAAGAACATCAGCAAGATGATGTAATGTCTGTAGCGGGAGAGAAGGTTGCACGTACTTAGCAATTACGTTAAGTTTGTGCGCATGTGCATAAATTATAGGGGACACTGGCTCCTGGTATCCTTTTTGTCTTGGGTCCCTTCAGAGGAGGCTGAGAAAGGTCTAGGGACTCACTCACCTCCAGCTGCAGCGTGGGCTTCCCGTTGCTCATCACACAGGACAGGTACAGATTCTTTCCCTTGAGACCCAAGGCCACCGGCATCTTCTCTTGACTTACTTCTCCTTGTACAAAGACCATGGAGAACACCACTGCAGAGAGAAGAGAGGCTTTGGGGTCAGGGACTTCTAGTAGGGAACCCAACCCCCATCTCCAAGACCAGTGCACTTGGCATCCTCACTGGGCCCCCGCAAAGGCGTTTTTTTAGTCCACCAGACAAGGTTGGCACAGAGGCTAGGAGGGTGAGTTGGTGGGTTCAGGGTTTCCTCCAAGAAGGCTTGAGAGTGTCTCAGAGCCTTTTGAGGGTGACAGTGAAGGATTAAAGGAGGGTCCATTTTTAAATGCTGCAAAAAGACAGAAACTCTCTTGCTATTGGTCAAGATGGTGCACAGCAGAACAATTTGATTATTGTTCAAACAAGGGAAAAAGTTAAGCTGGGATCCTGGAAGAAACCACGTAGCACATCTGTTTTTGAATATAGAACACCACATGGGAAGAACTTGGAAAAGGAGAGGCTTACTGGGGTCAGATTTATCCAAAGAGAGACATTCATTTTGGTCTTCCTTAGTAACAACTATCTCAGTTGGAGGCTCTGAGGTCACCTTTACTACTAAATTATAAAGAAACAGAAAGGCTTCTTTTCTGTCTGTGAGCGGGACACACATTTGGATGAGAACAGGCTACGTCTTTCAGCGATGACCTGATTCACCCGCTCTGGCTCTGGTTTTCAAGGGGGTAGGGTGGGAGGAAGGAGGTAAACGGCACAGTGCCTGCCACACTAGTGGCTCACCAGACTTGAAAGATTTCCCAGCTATTATAGGGAGACAAGTTCTTGCTTGTCAGTAAGAGTTCCCTACAAGGAACCATCTGGCATTGGGCGGGAAGGATGTTAGGACAAGGGGATGGGCATCTTATCTCTTCACCATTCTTGTTTCAACCCCAACAGCAGGAAAGAGAACCCACAAGCAGTTAGGGCGTGTCCATCAATGGCTCCATTCAATGGGAGCATGGATATCGTTCCCACTCCAAGTGACTTGGCCGAGCATTGGGACTGGGGGTGCTTAAGCAGTTCCACTTCTCAGTCACTCTTCTTACTGACAAAAAAAAAATTGTGCCGTGGGCAATCTATCTGGTTTGATTGCTCAGACAGGAGCAAAAATGCTTATTTGGTCTTTTGCTGTCAATGAACTTTTACAGAGGTTGAGAATTTGTCTTAATGAATGGTCCACTTTTGGGAAAACACGCAGAATTAACAAGCTGCCAAGAGGCCAAGAATGAAAAGCAAGATGTCTCCAGTTACCTTGTTGGCTTAAGTTTGAGCCGTTGAGGTGAACAGCCTGCAGTTCATGTGGACTGGACAGCACCAGCGATTTTTGGGTGATGTCCCGGAGGGTGCAGGTGAGGGCTAGGACAGCGGCATCACACTCATAATCGTCGCACAGGTGGACGGGTTCTGAAACATGGAGTACATATGTCACCTACGCACAAGGTCAGAAGGCAAGTCTGATGACGCGAGGCCACAGCAGTTGGTTTCTTGGATGACATCTAGGCATACATGGCCAAAGTCCCAGGATACCCTTAGTGATGAGGGAAGAAAGAGGTACGAGCCCTGGATCTGGCAACACCGGAGGTGGGTTCACTAGAGCGACTAGCAATAGAGCTACTTATGAAAAATGGTTACAGTGATACGGTGGCAATGCTGAGGGTGAGACTTGCAGAAGATAAGGCAAGGGAAACCATTCTGAGAATGATTTGCAAAGGTGAGTAATTATTAAGGTCTCATGTTAAGAAAAAAATCTCAACCCCCAATCCTAGTGAGCAGCAAGTGCATTCACCATCCACCACCCACCTCTGCCCACCCAAGGACTCCAGTTTCAATTAAAGAGATGATTCATTTGGTTTCCAAGCTTCTCTATCCCCATTTTATCTGAGCCTTCCATCTTTTAAGGGCTTCAGCTTTCAAGGAGTTTAGTTGACTCCTGGGTTATTGACTACAAGAAAGGAACAATCGAGAAATCGACTGTCTTCTCTTCAGCATTCATTCAGTACCTTCTTCAAAGAGGAGGGAAAAGAAGGTGTCCAGGAAGCCTGGGGAGCAGGGCTCCAGGATTGTCCTCAGCTTCTCCACTGCCACAATGACCGTTACAGCTTGCTTGAAGTGCTTGTTGTAGTGTTTCTGGGAGACCTGAAGTTGGATGCCCTTATCTCCTGGAGAGCAGAGGTCCAAGTCTTGGAAGTAGCTCTGTTAAGAAAGTAAGGGAGTGAGCATGTTAAGGTGGCCAGGAAAGCGAACTTCCATTTGGACATCAAACAGGTACAAGGGACCTTCGAGATAATCAACCTGCTAATAAAAGATGAGTTTTTTATATCTCTCTAAAGCCCAGGGAGGGTAACTGTCCTATCCAAGGGCCCTTGGCAAGGAAGAGGCAGACACAAAGCCAGAGTGTGAAGCTCTTGAAGAATAAATCCCATGTCTCTATTCTCTTTGTTATACCTGACCATAAACATGACCATAGACGCTCTTATATTTTATGTCATTTTGCTTCTGGTGCTCTAACATGACACCAGAAGGGGGTCAGGCTTCCAGAGTAATCTAATTCATGTTCTTTTTCACGTGTGGCCCAAAGAGTTGGAAGATTTGCCTAAATGCATGTTAGCGTTTTCTTTTTTCAACTCTCAATGACCTTCTTATGTGTGTCATCTAGTTCTTATTTTCATAAGGTACTTCCCAGGGAACAGAGTGCTATTCCACTGATAATTTCCAAGACCATTCTCTCCAAGTTACGGAGTTTGCCTCGAGTCACTAATGTAGGCTGACCCCTCCTCTTAAAAGGAGAATCAGATTTGCTGTGAAGCCCTGGCCCTTGGCTGTCTTCCTAAAAATGTGGCAACAAGTATGGCCACCACTGTCACTGTCCCCACTTCACCCCCAATCATGGCCACTGCTGGTCAGTGAAGGATTACGGTGGTGTGGGGACTTGGTATGGCCATGCCAACATGCACTGCAGCCTGCATGTGTCCCATTGGAAGGGACGAGAATCATCCTATCACAAAATGCCCCAGGAGGTAGATGCCTCAGACATTTTTCTTTGAACATTTGCTGCTCAAGAGCCCCTGCATGGGTTGGGAGCTAAGTTCAAAGTCTCACCTTCATCTGCATGGGCCCATCCGTCTCAAAGAATAGGGCATTGTCATTGTTACTGTAACCAAGACAGAGATATTTGTTAATGATAATCGCCTCAAGTGGCTTATTTCTCATTCCCTGTAAAAATATTCACCGTTAAAAGGAAGCTGCACACAGCATGAAACTCAAAGGTATCGGGCAGGTTCTGGCAAGTTTCATGGTAATAAGCATGGAACAGTCTACTCTGTTTAGCATATCACCATGGAGCCAGCAAAGGACGCCTGGGCTAGGACGCGTACCCCTGGGTGCTTGCTCCCGGTGGGAAAGTGAGATAAAACCCCCAGCTCCGTGGAGTCAGTGAAAATCTGAGCTGGCCCTCTTTGCGGAGCCAGACTTTGCCAAGAAGCTCCCTGCACCATTCACACGGACTCTCTCCCTCCTGTTTGCTGCCCGTTGAAAGTGCCTGTAGCATCACATCTGGCAGGCCTGGGGGTCCCAAGGCTGGACTTCAGTGGGACATCAATCTTCAAATCAGGTTAACCTGGACCTCTGCTTGTCGTTTAAAGAGGCAATTTTTGGGAAAAATCTGATCTCTGAGCACGGCTAACAATACACCCTTGGGGTGGGGAATGGGGTAGGGGGCAATCCTCAGTCTTCCCACTGACCTGTAGTAATTCAATCCATCACCGAGTTCAGGGACTGCTGCCATGGCTGCTTCAGAAGCCTGTGTAAAGAGGAGAGCCAGAGTGATTCCTTGCTGTGGTCAGTCCTCCTGGGAGTGGTTTTCATATTTGAGCTTTTCTTAGCACCTAGGATGTGGCAGGCATGCTTGGATGAAGGGGTGGGTGAGTGAGTGCATGGAAGAGCTATCTCTGCATCTAGAACAAAGCATTTGTCAGTCCAAACTCGAGCCAGAGCATGTTTGCTAGAAGTCACCTGAGACCGGTAGCAGAGGCATTGACACAATCTTTTGGTTGTCGGCAGCAAGATAAGCAGTATTCATTCCCCAATGGTTTCACGAGTTCTAGCATCGCAGCAAAACAACAGCTCCTTGAGGGCAGGTGGGTGCAGAGTGTGTGGAGAGAGGACAGAGAGCGAGGGAGAGAGAGACACTCACTAACCCCTAAGAACTTAGTTATCAGTAAGAGTAAGTTAAAGTCATCATACCCAAGTAGTAAAGACTGGCTGGCGAAAATCACAGAGGAGCCTGTTGCGCCTTTAAGAGCTGTGTTCTCGACCCACTTCTCCCTCTCTATTTTTATTGCCTCCAAAAGCAGAAGTGGAGACGTGAGAAACTTCCTTTTGGGTTGCCTTATTTCACAACCAAGTTATCTTCCAAGAGAGGTGGTAACTTTTAGGGGAGGGGGCTTTTACGCTGCAATGATTTTCTAATACATGGAAGGGCAGGTGCTAGCGCATTATGACGCGTTTGCCAAATGTGCAAATCCACGATGCTTTTTTGGACAACCATTATACAGATGAGTCGCGATGAAAATACCAGATTTTCCTAGGTTAGGTAAATGTTTTCATTTGGGATTTCTGGGACAAAATGAAGGAGACACCGATACACACACTCCCATGAGCACCCTTGCTCTCTTCACTTCTATCCTCTCAGAATATTTGGCTTAGGGATCTTTGACTGGGAGAGGAGTCAGTGGGTCTAATGACTCTCAATCTGGATTCAGGGCACTGTTGTCTAGGCCTGTAGCTGCTGGTCAACTACAGGAGACTCTGGTGAGACACTTGGCCTCTCTTGGATGAGACAGGGAACAGATAGCTCTGCAGGGATGCAGGTCCTTGGTGGGATTATTCATTTTGCGTCCACAAGATCAACCCTGCAATTTTAGTCATAGGTTCCCAAGCTTCATGGGAAGATCTGTCACCTTCCTCACGGTCATTAGGGCTGGTGAGCTAGTGGCTCTGTGATCCCTCTGTTTATTGACAGGATCAGAAGTGGAGGGAAGGAGGATCGAGGACGGTGTGGGGAAGGGAAGAATGTAAGGAACATCAATGCCCATCCTGAGTTGCTCTCTTCGGTTTCTGGGTCTGGGGATAGGTCAGGAAGCTTGAGCGATTCTTCTCCCTCTTCTGAGTGTCGGCATTCCAGGGCCCCAGAATCTTCTAGCCAGAAGGAGTCCGAATGCCAGGCTGGTTGGATTTAGTTGCATCATCTACATGCAGACACACCGCCTACTCCAATGGAACCAGTGGATGGAGCAACCAAGCCCAGCAGAGGTGCAGTGACCTTCCAAATGTCCCCGTGTGCTTGAAGCGATGCTCGCATGCACATTGCATGAGCCTTCCTTCTGTCTGCGGGATGGAGAAAGGGAGATTTTGGAGCTGTGGGGCAATGTCCCTTGACGTAACGGCCTCTGGAGTTCTGCCATGTCTCATCCTGGCCCTCTAGCTCTCACCCATAACCTGGCCACCCTCCCGATCCATTTCAGGAAGGGAAACCACTGCGTCAAATGGGCATGTTGCACAACGCATATTTCAGATCCTGGCTCCCCAAGGAGACTGCACACGCCACACCCACCGCTTCCTTCCGATAGCCAGCCACCGTTACAGCTCCCTATAGAGCTCGGTGAACTGGCGGTAGAGGAGAGGAAGGATGATGTAGGAGATCATGATGTAGACACAAGGAAGTGGAACAAGCAGAAGTGGGGAACTGGCCATGCCAGGGTGTTGTGGGAAGTGCCAGCCTTTGAGGTGTGGCCCAGTTCTTGAGTCACTCTGAACCTCTGCTGCAGGTGCTCCTATATCCTGGCAGGCCATTCCTCCCTGACAGGAGACTGGCATTTCTTTTTTCTGTCCAGAGTTGCAGTTGGCTTACTACCATCTCATGTCTGATCTTTGACTTCCAGCCTCTCTTATCCAGGCTGGTCTGCCAATGGTTCTTTTGAACAAGCAGATGAATCATGGATTTGTTCTTTCATGCTTGGGGATCAATGAAGTGGTAGCTGCTTTCTGCCGTGGGCTTCTTCCTCCTTGTTTTCTCTCTTGCTCAGAACAGAATGGAACAATGACCATTCTCACCGTTTTGTGCCCCTGATTCTCTTTCATCTGGACTTCTTAATATCCACTTAACACGGTGCGTAAGGACCTGTCCTTGGCTTCCACCACTTCCTTCGGGTGCCTGGGTCTGAAAGTTCAGTGCCCCGTGTGGCCTCACCTGTCTCTCTGTGGAATGTCTCTCTTTGCCTTGGGGATTATTTGGGATCTGGTTGTCCAGTTTTCAGTTTTGAGACCTCCATCTATCTCTTATAGTGTCATCTCCATTGCGTGTGCTTTAGCTCTGGGGCCCAAGTAATGAGGGGAACGAGCGGCTGACCCCAGAGAACATTCTACCTCCCTCCCTGGTCCAGGACAAGAGGAAATGAGATCCATGAGTAGGTGGGGTGGGTCTGGTGGGGGCTAAAAGGTCTAGTCTATGGCTCCCAGTGACTTCTTCCTGCCGATTGAGCCATTGTGCCACTTTGAGAGACGCTTGGTATTGTCCCTGGGATCCAGCAGAAAGAGGCCCTGTTGGGCAAAGCGGTTCCCAGGGCTTTCCTACACTGTAGTTTTTGTCTTACACAAAGGGCGTGAGCGGGAAAGCCACTTAGTACCAGGGGTCTGGAAATCTTTTCTGAAAATGGCCAGACAACAAACGCGTTAGACTTTGCAGGTCGTACCCTGGCCACGTCTCTTGCAACTACTCAGTTCGTGATGTGGGAGCGCAGCCACAGCCCATCCCCAAATGAATGGGCACGGCCGGGTTTGACGGGCAGGTTAGAAGTTGCAGCTTCTCCCACCTCTACATTACCCCTGTTTGCTACTATTACCCCCCTTCGATACGCATTTAGAAATAATACTGGGAAAAAGTTGCTGTTTAGTGAGACACGGAAAGCGACAGACACCTCTTTTTCTTGTGCTCTTACTTCATTTTGACATTTCACCGATGAGGAAAACGAAGGTTGAATGAGAGAAGTCACGTATCTGATAAGTTTACAGTTAGTAGACGCTGGAACCAGGACTCAAACGTGGGCTCTTAGGATGCAGACCGGGCCCTTCCTTCCTCCCTGTTCATTGTGACAAGCATTTATTGCATCATTTTCTTCCTCTTTACGAGGTCTACCCGAGGACTCTCTCCGCGGTTCAAGTAGATTGTCAACTACCGTGATTGACAGATTCATATCGCTTGACCACGGCGCTCCAAAGTGTTTGCTCATTGTCCATTTAGCGGCTGGGTAGACTGTCCTGGCCCTGCCTGCCTGCCCCTCCTGGCTGTGATCTGCTGCTCGAATGAATCTGGATTCCTCCTTGAGGGCCCCACGGGGACTTTCCGAGTCAGAGCTTTCGTGACCTCTCTTCCCCTCTTCTCAGTTTCTTTCTTCTTCCTCTTCTCTCTCTGAATTATAACTGGCAGCCATATTGTTGCTTCCTTTGTCCTTTCTATTTTTCCTAAGACATTGTTCTAGCATTTTCTAAACAAACAAACAAACAAACAAACAAACAAACAAACGCTCTCTCTTGGGGTTCTAGCCTTAGAGTCACATGCTTTTTTGGGTTTGTTTTTAAATGACACTAAACAAAATTAAACTACAAATGTGCTTGATACAATTGATACACGGCTTGTTATAAGAGCTATAAGACCCCCCCTGTAAAATAATTTATAATTAAAAAAATACACCTCAATGTAAAGGAAAAAGAAAACAAACACAAACCCTTCACAACTGGACCAATAAACATCATGATCATCAGAGTAAAAAACCCCCCAAACCCCCAAAAACCAAAAGTAAACCCCCAAAGCACTTGCGTCTTAAAATCTAAGATAAATGTCTATATTCGGCTCCTCAGCTGTGATGTCATCAAAGGTGATTTGAATGCTCCCTGTCAGGGATTTGTTCATTTTGCTTCTTCACCCGCTTCCTCCTGGCTGGAAAGGGTTTCGCTTCCTTTCTTCTGGGAGAGGACGTGCTCAGCAAGGCCAGGAAGGATTGGTTGGGCGTTGGACCAGGCCTGGGACCCAACTCTAAGTGGTTGATCTCCCCCAGTTATTTAGAAAGGTGGAAAGAAGTTGGGTTGTGTAGCGTTACTCTACAAATCAGACAATTTTCCAATTAAGATGTTAAGACCTCCCAGAATGCGTCAGCCTCAGACTTGGGGCGCCCACCCCCCCCGACATTGCTGCTGTTATCTGCTGACGAATCTGTTCAGACTCACACCACCTTGATGCTAGTGGCAAGGAAAACATACCGACTGCTTACATGAGGCTGTAATGTACAGGAACCATTTTTCAAAATCTGGTTTCACAAGGACTTATGTGTGGTATGATAGTCCCAGAAAGGATTTATCAAAGCTACCTGATGTTGCTAGCAAGCAAAAAGTTCTATGGTACACTTAGTAGTGATTTAAGAAAGATACACCCACTCCTCAATTGTCATGGCTAGGTTCCACAGACTAGGTTGTTATGCAAAAGTTGGTATTATGCAAAAATGGAAGGTAGCTACATCAGATCACAAAATTAAAGTGCTTCCAAGTTGCATTGTTTCATAACTTCCAAAGTGCATCATTGCATAACTGGAAAACCACTGAGGATCATGGCTTAAAATCACATACCACCTTAATCGTCACAGCCACCTTCCTTTCTCCTAGCACTTAGAGGTTTGTGAACTGCCTGACAGCATTAATGTACAAAGATGATTACAGTAGACATTTTCCTATTGTAAATACAAAATGGAATAATGAGATTGTGGATAAGTGAGAAATAGTTGCATTTCTTAGGCTTTTTGAGACCACGCAAGCTCATTTTCAAAGTTTAAAATGGTACACAGGTATTTAAAGTAAAGAACGAACGTCCTTCATTAGACTGCTCTGTTGCTAAATAAGCAGTAACTGTTTGGAGAAGCCTTTGAACCAGCAAGCATTCCCGCAGCCACTTCCACCCATTCCTCTATCACCCACCAGCAGTTCTCCAACAGGTTACTCTTGAATGGGATCTCTGGAATTTTCTCCAAAGTTACTGCGTTCAAGCTTGTATCCCTTTTCCTCTTGGTCATTTAAATCATCTCCTAAAATGTAAGCCTTTAGGAATTCATTCTCCACACCACCGTCACAGCGATCTCTCTAACGACTGAAACTGCTGACATGAAGACCTAGATCAAACCTATTAATGACTGTCCAGCTCCATCTCTTGGTTGCGCTGTCTGGTAAGTGTTGAACTGCTATC